GCAGACTGAGATGGAATTGGGGAGCCTGCCACCTAATCTGGGGATAAGCCTCATAGTTCCAGTGCAAGGTATCTGGCAGATAACATGCGCGTGTGTGCAAGTGGGGGAGGGGCGGAAAGAGAGGGAGACAGAATCTCAAGCAGGCTCTGTGTTAACAGCACAGAGCGTGACTCAGGGACCATGAGATCCTGACCTGAGCTGAAATCAGGTTGGACATTTAAAGGAATTGGCACACTGAGCCAATGTGCCCCAAGGTACGATTAAGAGAACCAAAAAGACAACCTGTAGAATGAGAGAAACTGACAAAAAGTTTGTATCCAAGATACATAAAGAACTTCACAAATAAGAAAAAGATGGACTGGACAGCCAAATAAAAAGTGGGGAGAAGATCTGAACACAAAAAGATGATACCATGAAAAAGGATACCTAATGGCAAATACACATATGAAAAAGTGTTCAACTTCACTGATCATTAGTTGTTAGGGAAACAACTACTGAGATACTATACAAGCTCCAAAATCACTTCAATTTAAAAGACTCATACAAAGTGTTGGTGAAGAAGTGGAGCAACTTACAACTTACACACTGCTGGTAGGGATGTAAATTGCTACAGCCACTTTGGAAAACAGGCTGGTGTTAACTACTAAATGGTAAGATACATATAACCTATGGCCCAGCAATCCTACTTCTAGGTATATACTCCAAAAAATTCATGTACAAGTGCACCAAAATACATACAAAAATATTCATAGCAGCACTATTTGTAAGAGACACAATCTGGAAACATTCCAAATGCCCGTTAACAGTAGAATGTATAAAGGCATTGTAGTATAGTTCTGTGACAGAATACTACATTGCTCTGAAAAATGAAATAATGGTCACTACCTATAACAGCATGGATATATCACGCAAACATAATGTTACGCAAAAGAAGCCAGACACACAAAAACTATGACTTCATTTATGTAAATTTCAAACACAGAGAAAGACAGTCTATGAATTTAGAAGTTAGAAAATGGTTACCTTTGTGGCAGGGAGGGGTACTGGATGGTAGCAGGAGCTTCTCTGGAGTTAGAAACTATTTTTTCCTGATGTGATGGTGGTTACACAGGTGGGTCTTACTTTGTAATAATTAATTGAATGATCCCACTTGGGATCTGTCTGTTTTTCTGAATGTATTCAGAATTTAAATTTTTACTTAAGAAAAAAAAGTACTCCGGGGAGTCCATTTCTTTGTGGCCCCTCCTGCCAGTCTCCAATACCACAGCCTGACACTTCCAAAATACAAAATCTAATTCTGCCACTTCACGGGGTCCCTCAGGATCAAGTGTGACGATCCTTTGATCCTTTGATCCCCATCACTCAGCACCAGCGCAGCCCAAGAAATACCCTCTGACTTCCCAAGCTCTTTATAATGTTCCAGCTCTACAAAGAGGAGAACTCTCTCCTGGCTTCTGGCGATCTTCAACATTTTCCGTATCTCAGGTTATCATTCCCAGGGAGACCTGTGGCTACCCAAATCCAGCTCTGGAGCAACCAGAAGTCAGGAAGTACCATGTGCTGCTTTATTACAACACTCCTTACACTATCTTGTAGTAGTGTTTGCCTGTCTCTCCGAGCATGTGAGTCCCTTTGGGGCCAGGCACAATGTCTGGGACCCATCTTTATCTTTTTTAATGCCTAGTGGCTGGTTGGCTGGTAGGTGCTCCAGGAAAAGGTTTGGGGAGAGAGTGATCTTGGAAGTGGCTATAAGGATTCAGACACTGGAGGCTGAGGATGGACATTTCAGGCATAAGACATAGGAGTAACAGTGGCGAGCCACTGAAGGTTTTTGAGCAGGGTTGTGATGTGATCAGAGTTCTGGTATGGCCATAAAAATCCTGTGGGATGGGCAAAGGCGAGATTGGAAGAGGAAAAATTAACTTTGGAAAGTTCAGGGGAAAAAGAACTTTGGTGGTCCAAGTTAAAGGAATGGAAGAACGAGAATCCACTCAAGGAAGATTTCCCAGGTACAACAAATCAGAAAGGCTGCCAGGTAGTAGAAAGGCTCCGGAGGGGCACCTAGGTGGCTCAGAGTCGGTTAAGGGTCCAACTTGGCTCAGGTCATGATCTCATGGTTCGTGAGTTTGAGCCCCATGTCAGGCTCTGTGCTGACAGCTCAGAGCCTGCAGCCTTCTTCAGATTCTGTCTCCCTCTCTCTCTGTGCCTCCCCCATTCATGCTCTGTCTCTCTCTCAAAAATAAATAAAAATGGTGAAAAAAAAATCTACTTGGAGAAAAGAGAATGTGTACAAGCAGCTAGACAAGAATGAAAGGTGGCAGAGGACTAAAGACCAAGAAGGGAGAAAGGGGAAGAATCTACTTGCTGACAGGAAGGGGAGAGAGGATTTCTGAAGAAGTTAAGGCACAGGCACGAGCGAGGTTTGGGAAGCATCACAAGGAAAGGGGACGAATGACCTGAGCAAAGGCCTGGAAAGTGGGAATGTTGGTGGCACATTTGAGGCATGGATGAAATAGTAGGAAATCAGGCTGGGGAAGTCAGGGTGAAGGGCGTTGAAGCCCAGTTCATGTGGTTTGGGACTTTATTTAATTTAGTTGGTTTTTATAAATTATTTTTAACTGTTTATTTATTATTTATTTTGAGAGAGAGCACACAGGGAAGGGGGGGAGAGAGAGAGGGAGGGAATCCCAAGCAGGCTCTGTGCTGACAGCACAGATGAGGGGCTTCATCCCATGAACCCTGAGATCATGACCTGAGCCAAAGTCAAGCTTAACCAACTCAGCCACCCAGGCGCCATAGGGATTTTAATAGGCAAAGGGAAATCGATTCACATTTCTCAGCAAAGTGACACACTACAAGATATATTCTGGAAGGAAAGCTTTGGCTGGTGTGTGTGCAGGATGCATTGGTGGGGAAAAGCCAAAAGGCAGGGAACCCCACAAGGGGGCTTCTAAAATAATCCTTTAACAGGTTTGAAGCAGCAGCAGGAATGGGAAGGAAGGGATACAATTTGGGTATCTTGGGGAAAAAAGAATTGACAAGTCTTGATGATGTATCACTTACAGGGAGGAGAGAGAAAGAGGATGATTTTCAGGTTTCTAGCCCCCCAAATGATGTTTCTGGAAGAGTTTATAATTTTGTTTTTAATAAAGCACATTTATTCAGAAGACAAATTAAGCTTAACAGAATAGAAGTAGTAAATACAAGATACTCTGAGTAACTTAACGTGGACTATTAGTTATACTCAGAAATCTTTATTAATTCCTCCCTGAAGTCACCCAATGTTCTCTTGGGGACAAAAGGCCAACAAATATGGCGTCTTTTGGGGAAGGATTTTGGAATGAGACAGTAAGACACTGACTTATTCTTGTGTAAAACTCCAATGCATCTTCAATGTGCCCTAAGCCTCCCAAAATAGATAGTATGGAACTACCAAGGGTCCAGAGAAACCCAACTCAAAAAGCAATAGACAGAATGGACCAATGATAAAGACTTTCCTGTCCAGCTCAAGGGTAATAAAGAGGACATGAACACGAGACCACAAAGTGTAGAATTTATTATACCTTACCTTAGCCCAGCACTCATAGCCTAAAATTTTCATTTTTTGCCCATTATTCATTCAACAAAAACCTGAATACCCTAATCTCAGTACTCAGCGAGAAAGGCACAGAAATCAAGGAGGCCCAGCCTGCTCACTGCCTAGTTTGATCTCCACAACACTGTATACCCTTATTCCTACCTGACAATTAAGGGAGCTAGGGTTGAACTATAGTTAAGTGCAGATGCTCCCAGCTGTGGTACTGACCGAGTCACTTAATCTTTGTAAGGCTCAGTTTCCTTAAAAAGGGTACAGCAACATCTACCTCATTGGGTTTGGAAGATTAAGTGTTGTCAGAAGTTTAGAAATAGAATTAAAAACCCCTGGATCACTGAAAGAGTACTTAGTAAAAGTTCATCATACACAAAAAACAGTTTGCAAACTGGAAGCACTCAATCTGAACATGGAAGGGGTTCAGACGTGTATTGTTTTGAAGCAGGAGATAGTGAGGAGGGAGCGTGGCTTTTTACTCTTCAGATTAATTATAACATTAGAATTTTCCTAGCGATAGGGATGGGTTCAAAGTAGTTACTTCATGGGGTACCTGGGTGGCTCAGTCAGTTAAGCGTCTGACTTTTTTTTTAAATGTTTATTTATTTTTGAGAGAGACAGAGGGTGAACAGGGGAGAAGCAGAGAGAGAGGGAGACACAGAATCCGAAGGCTCCAGGCTCAGAGCTGTCAGCTCAGAGCCTGATGGGGCTCAAACTCACAAACCTCGAGGTCATGACCTGAGCTGAAGTCCAACTTAACTAACTGAGCCACCCAGGGGCCCCGAAGCGTCTGGCTCTTGATTTCGGTTTGTGAGATCGAGCCCCGCATCTGGCTCAGCACTGAGAGTGCAAAATATTTTTAAATATTTTAACAAGTTTAAAAACGAGTAGTTACTTCATATCAATTTTGAGAACAGTTTGAGTTTTGCTTTTGATTTTCAGAGGCATTGACAAGAAGTGGCCCAAGTTAAGTTTCACTTATTTTACAGAACAAGCTAAATTAAAGGTTGTCTATATGACTAAACTGTTTTGCCTGCTCAGGAAATTTTCAAGTCTGGTCTCCATTTGTGTTTGATTTTAACAATGTGAAAGTACATAATAGTACTTAGATGCCTAAGTAAAGAATTCATTTAGCCATCGTTTTTTTTTTTTAATTTTTAAAACTTTTAAAACATTTTTTTACTTTTGAGAGACAGAGCACAAGCAGGGGAGGGTCAGAGAGAGAGGGAGAGACAGAATCCCAAGCAGCCTCTAGGCTCTGAGCTGTCAGCACAGAGCGGACTGGCTGGAACTCATGAACCATGAGATCATGACCTGAGCAGAAGTCAGACACTTAACTGACTGAGCCACCCAGGCACCCTGTAGCCATCATTATTAACCAGTGTGCAAAGCATCTACAACATTTACTTACCCCATTTCTTTTTCTTCCCTCCAAACCTTGCAGGGCCTCTGCGTTGCTTCTCTTTGGCCCTGAACAAACCTTCCTAACAACGTTGTATCCCATCTATTCCAGCCTGTCACTCTAAGCCTTGCTTTAGCTTTCATCTCTTTGATCTTCATACTCCTGTCTTTCCCTTTCTTTCTTTCTCATTTTTTCCCCTGGTCCTTTCCCTTCCACTCTTCCAGACTCTGCTTTTGGAGTCTGAAGGCTCAGGCTTGCTGTATGGCTAGAGACCAATGAACAAGTCATTTAACTGCTGGGTCTCAGTTTTCACATCTGAAAAATGGGAACAATAATACCTACTTTACATGATTGCTTTGTGGAGTAGCTAGGAATAAAGTGTAAGTGCTATGTCAATTGTACAAAGTCTTACCTAGCGCAGATACCTCTCATTTCTATTCCTTTCATTCTACTCCCTTTCAAGTCCCAGCCCGATTGTGGAACTAGGAACTTCTTCCCATGGAAAATTAGGACGTAACTCCAATCGGAGTGCAGATTTGCTGGTTCTCCCCGCCTTCCACGCCTAAACGAACCAATCAGAGCGAGAGGAGAGTGTCGCACTCTCTACATCCGGAGACCATCCGTACAATGGAGCTTGCGCTTTTCTCCGCCTCTGCGGTTATCCTGTCTTCGCTTCACATCCCGGTGTCTCCACCTTGGAAATGGGGTCCTTCTTCCTCGTCTCCACGCCCCCGGTCCTGCCATAGCAAGGGTTGAACGGCGAGGACCGGAAGTGTGTGCAGGCGGCGGGTCCCCAAGAATCGACACCGGAAGTAGCGGTTGCTCCTGGATTGCGCGCGCTGCGCCATGGCGGCGATCCCCCCCGACTCCTGGCAGCCGCCCAACGTGTACTTGGAGACCAGGTGAGAGGGGACGGGCCTCTGGGGCTGGCCTGGCGGAGGCGACGCGGAGCCCGGGCTTTGCCGCGGGGCTGGGTTCCGGGTGCTTTCCCCCGGGAGGCCGGCCTCCACGTGGACGAGCGTAGAGCGGCGGCGGGAGGGCAGCCTGGGCGCTGAGTGGGGACCGCCACCGCCCGCGTCCGAGCCCGGCATCGGCTCGCCGGGAGACCTCAGCGACAGCGGCCTGGTTGCCCTTCTCCCACTTGGTCGCTCATTCCGTTCGTTCATTCAGCTAGCGTCTGATGAGTCTACAAGCCAGCGACGTTGGAGCTGGAATCAGGATAGAGGTGCCTAAGACACCCGCCGCCTTTGAATTTGAGAGTTACTGTCATTTAGGTGGGACTTGTTTATACAGCGGTTACAGTAACTGCTAACGTTGTGCAGTTCGGATGCATTAACAAATTGTTAGAAGGGTACAGGAAGAAACACATTTTCCCCACTATCGAAGAGTGATATATATAGTTGGGCACTAATCGGCGAGTGCCATGCTTTTGACCTATAGCATCTCATCTAGTTTAATCCACTTACTACCCACATGGGTGTCCACCTTCTCTCCAGTTTTAGCACGAGAAATGCCAGAATTTACAGATTAAATGATTTGACCAAACCCATATAGCAGGTAAGTAGGGAAACCTTATTTGGAGCCTGGTCAGTCTGCTTCACAAGCTAGGTTCTTTAGCTCCGTTCATTCCATTTCCTCTTTGGAAAAAGTCCAAAGTGATCTTAAGAAAGTAGGACAAATAACGTAAGGAACTTCTGAATTCTACAACAGTATAAAATGAAAGCATGGTAGTCTGACATTCAAGATTATTTTCTTTTTACCTGGCCTTTGTCTTCCCTCTCTGGCTACATCTTCAGCCATTCCCATCAGTAGCCTAGGTCCAGGTCTCTTTTTTCTATTTTCTGCCTGTGCTGTTTTCCCCCAGATCACAGCTTTCAGATGCTGCTTTTGCTCCTTGGTCATCTTCCCCACCACCAAAATTCTACTTCTTTAAAGGCCCCAACTTGAAAGTAATTTCTGAATTCACCTGTCAGTGTTTTTATCAGTTACAAAATCAATCAAAAATTAAATCCAAGCAGTGTAACAGTGTATAGAGCAGGTGAAAGCCACCACTTCCTGTAAAAACAGTAGTTTGTTGGATGACCTTCCACCTCTTTCTCTCTGAATATATAAACATCTCTCTTATATGTTCTGTTTCTTAGCAAAAACAAGATCACATGGTCATGCTGTATATAGGTTTTTTTCCTGTAATTTGCTTTTGTTTCACTTGCTAATACAGCTTCCCATAGTATGGATATTTTGTGCTTTAGTCACTTCTTTGAAGGATACTTAAGTTGCCTCTTGTTTTTTGTTATGACAGAAACTGGCATGAATATCCTTACATATATAGTATTCTTAAGCATGCTTGTGCGTTTTGCTATAGAATACTTAGAAGTTGAAATTGCTGTCAAAGGGTATGTAGATTTCAGAATTGTACAGGTATTTCCTGATTGCCATTCCAAAAAGGTATTCCCTGTATTTAAAAAATACGCACCAGAATGTAAGTTCCGTGAGGGGGAAAACACCTAGAACCATGCCTTGCACAGAGTAGGTGTCAATCACTGTTGAATGTTAGTAGGGTGAAGGATGAATTCCTGGTAGAAAGGCTTTTTGTAGAGAGCTATGTTCTAGCATCTACCATATACATATTTATAGAGTGCTTTTGCTGTGCTTCGCACTGGCTATCCAGGATATACATAGTTGCCTCAATTTTCACATTCTTGAAGCTTAAGATGTAGGTGAGTGATGGAGTGAGTAGAGGGGAGGGGAAGGCACCTGTGTAAGTCTTACTTTTTTCCTGATCAGTACTTGGGTGGTGGGGGGAGGGGAAAGGGAAGGAGAGGGGAAGCACTCGTCCCATTTTGATAGGTATAGAGATGTGAAGTAAGCAGGTTTTGCATTTGTTACACCCTCTTCTAAATACACACAAACTGTACCTTTTTTTTCCATTAAAACTTTTACAAATAGGTAATATAGTTACATGGCTCAAAAATACAAAAGTTAAAAAAAAAACACTCATTAAAAACCTTCCTGTTTCCCATTTGCCCAGTTTCTACCCCAACCCAGAAATGCATGTATAAATAAATACAAATTCTTTATAATAATAATGATGTCCTTCTTTTAAAAAATTACAAATTAGGGGTAATTTTTTTTTTTCAAATTAAAGATTGGTTATACTGGTCTCCCATGATCAGCGATTTTTTAATTCATAAGGCCAGTTTGAATTTTTAGTTGTCCACAGTTACTTTGTTTCTGTGTGTTTTGCACATACAAGTTCCTATGTGTTTTACACAAAGAAGATACCTGTGTTTATGTCATTTACGTTGCGATGTTTTCCTTTGCTGAGCCTGAAATCTGATGTTTATTACAATCTCATGACTTATATGAGCTTGAAAATAAAGAGTCTCGAATCAGTCCTATCATATTCCTGTCCACTGTGACCTTGTGCTTGACTAGAACTCTGCTGTCCTGTCCTCTGCAGCATGGGAATCATTGTGCTGGAGTTGTACTGGAAGCATGCTCCAAAGACCTGTAAGAATTTTGCAGAGTTGGCACGTCGCGGTTACTACAATGGCACCAAATTCCACAGAATCATCAAAGACTTCATGATCCAGGGAGGTGACCCAACAGGGACAGGTATAGTTAAGCCAACATCAGTTTTTTTGTTTTTAATTTTATCTTAGAGAGAGTGAGCAGGGGAGAGGGCCAGAGGGAGAGAGAAAGAGAATCGTTTTGTGTGTGTGTGTTTATTTATTTTTGAGAGAGAGAGGGAGACACAGAATCCAAAGCAGGCTCCAGGCCTCTAGCTGTCGGCACAGAGCCCGATGCGAGGTTTGAACTCACAAACCGTGAGATCGTGACCTGAGCGCAAGTCGGGTGCTCAACTGACTGAGCCGCCCACATGCCCTGATAGAGAATCTTAAGTAGGCACCATGCTCAACGTGGAGCCCAGTGCAGGACTCGATCTCATGACCCTAGGGATCCTGTGACCCTCAGGGATCATGACCTGAGCTGAAATCAAGAGTTGGACGCTCACCTGACTGAGCCACCCAGGCGCCCCAAGCCAACATGAGTGGAGTTCAGTGAAATAGGGAAGGCTGAGAGAGGAGCATGTGTGGAGGGAAAAGTCAAGAATTTGGTTTTGGTTTTAGACACATTACGTTTGAAATACTTTTCAGGTCTTCATTTAGAGATGTTGAATAAGTGAAGGGATAGGAGTGTGGAGTTCATGGAGAGATCTGGGATGGAGGTATGAATTTGGGAGTTACTGTCACTTAGATGAGATGTATTAGTGAAGTTGGTGCATGCTAACCTGAGTTTCAAGGCCCCTTGCTTCTCAGTCCGCATTTTCTCTCGCTGCTAATTTCTGCTCTTGCTTTTTTTTTTTTTTTTTTGCCTTTAAAGAAGTTTGATACTCTCTGTACCAGTTTTTCTTAATCCTGTTCTTTGTCATCTCAGCTGTTCTCTATTTACCCTTTATGACCAGAAGTATTCAGTGTTTTTAAAATATATGGATTGGGGCTCCTGAGTGGCTCAGCCGGTTGAGCGTCTGACTTTGGCTCAGGTCACGTCTCACGGTTCGTGGGTTCAAGCCCCACCTTGGGCTCTGCTGATAGCTCGGAGCCTAGAGCCTGCTTCGGATTCTGTGTCTCCCTGTCTCTCTGCTGCTCCCCTGCTCATGCTCTGTCTCCCTGTCTCTCAAAAATAAATAAATGTTAAAAAAAATTTTTTTAGGGGCGCCTGGGTGGCTTAGTCGGTTAAGCGTCTGACTTTCGCTCAGGTCATGATCTCGCGGTTCGTGGGTTCGAGCCCCGCGTCGGGCTCTGTGCTGACTGCCAGCTCAGAGCCTGGAGCCTGTTTCAGAGTCTGTGACCCCCTCTCTCTCTGACCCTCCCCTGCTCATGCTGTCTCTCTCTCTCTCTCCTAGAAATAAATAAAACATTAAAGAAATTTTGGGGAAAAAAAATTTTTTTTAAATAAAAATATATGGATACATTTAAAAATACAGAATGTATAGGAAACTAAAAAATAAACACAAAAATCACTTATAAGTATACTTCTTAAAGATTTCTTTCTTTCTTTTTTTTTTTTTTTTAAGTTTATTTATTTATTTTGAGAGCACACAGGAGAGGCAGAGAGAGAGGGGGAGAGGGAATCCCAAGCAGGTTCCCCACTGTCAGTGCAGAGCCTGACGGGCTTTAACTCACGCATGATGAGATCATGACCTGAACTGAAACCAGGAGTCAGATGCTTCACTGACAGAATCACCCAGGTGCCCCCTTCCTAAAGATTTCTAACCACTATTAATTATTCCCACAATATCCCACTTCTCAGAAACAATTGATGTTAATTGTTGGTGGCCATTATTCTAGACATCTTTCTTTTCCGATACCTAGTTAAAAGGATGGATGAATGGATGGATAACTAGCTAAACAAAGATAATTTCAAGACAATAGGCAATGTCATGCATATTACTGTTTTTAAAACAAGAAAACAGGGGCACCGGAGTGGCTCAGTTGGCTAAGTGTTTGACTTCTGCTCGGGTCGTGATCTCATGGTCTGTGAATTCAAGCCCCACGTGGGCTCTGGGCTGACAGCTCGGAACCTGGACCCTGCTTCAGATTCTGTGTCTTCCTCTCTAACCCCTATCTTGCTCGATCGCGCTCTCTCTCTCTCTCAAAAATAAACATTAAAAAAATTAAAAAGACATTTAGTTTTGTACATGCTTAATTAAAATATTGATTTCCTGCTATGAAAGGTGAGGCAGTTAGTACTTAAATTTTTACCCATTTCTATTGTTTAGGAAAAACTCAGTTTTGCCTGCATTCTGTGGTGGGAAAAACCTGGTCCTTCCTTCCTGTGTTTTTCCCCTGCACGTCTTCCTTACTGCTCACACAGATCACTTCTGACACAAATGTGCGGAGGCTTACCACCCCTGCCCCCAGCAAGCAATTCTGTGACACCAAGTGGGTGTCTTACAGTTAACTCAGTTTCAACATTACCTACCCAGAGATAGCATCAGATCCCGCGAGTTAAGGCCCAGGCCCCACAAGATTGCCTCCCTGCCCCCCGGCCCCACTTCAGTCACAAGCCTAGGTTCCAATAACCCCCTCCTTGGGGTCAATTAATTTGCCAGAGCAGCTCACAGAGCTCATGGAGACGTTTACTAGTTTATTAAAGGACTTGATAAAGCATATAGATGAATAGCCAGATGAAGAGATGAATAGGGTGAGGTCTCGGAGGGTCCCCAGGGTAGGAGCTTCTGTCCCCTTGGAGTTAGGGTGCGTCACCTTCCTGGAAAGGATGTGTTAGCTCACCTGGAATCTCTCTGAACCCTGTAGTGGGATTTTATGGAGGTTCCTTCATGTGGATGTGAGCAATCATTACCTCCATTTCCAGCTCCTCTCCCCTCTCTGAAGAAGCAGGGGGTGGTGGGGGCTGAAAACTCCAAGCTTCTAGTCATGGCTTGGTCTTTCTGGGGACCAGTCCCCATCCAGGAGCCCACCTGCCTCATTAGAACAAAAGACGCTCCTGGTGCTCTTCTCACTTAGGAATTTCAAAGGGTTTCGGAAGCCCTATTTCACAGACAGGTCAGAGACCAAATATTAGAACAAGAGATGCCACCTAGTCTTCTTACCACATAGGAAGTTACAGGAGTTTTAGGAGTTCTGTGCTGGGAACTGGGGACAGAGAGAGAGATGCATCCGTGTCTCTTCTGTTACCTCACACCTACACTCCAGCCCTTGCTCTATTAGTTTTATTTTTCCCGGTCATGAGAGTGCATTTTCCATTCTGTGCCTGATTCCCTCCGCTGCAGTATGGGCTCTGCATTTCAGAGGGTTTGGTGCTTCCCGCTAGGCTAGTCTGTCCACAGGGGCTGGAGGCAGAATTTCCTGCTGAGCGGTTTGTATTGCAAGCGCTCAAGGGTGTTCTGTTTTTGTTTTGTTTTGTTTTGTTTTGTTTTAACTCCATCATGTTCGAGAATCTGAAAAAGCCCATGACTGGGTGTCCTGTTCTCGGGCCACGCTCGTTCTCTCAGATCTTTCCTGACAGGTCTACTCTGTTGCCCTTCTGGTGGTAAGCATGGCTTTGGAGAGAATGGAGGCCAGATTTACTCCTTCCTCCAGCTCAGAAGAGATGTTTCGATTTGTATTTCTGAGTATTTTCTCTGTCCCTTGCTCTGATTTCCTAGTTCAGGAAACTAGTTATTCTTTGTTTTATGATCTTTGCTTTTCACATATATTACATTTATTTTTAAATCTTTATTTATTTATTAAGGATCTTTTTTTTTTTTTAAGTTTATTCATTTTTGAGAGAATGTGGGGGGGGACAGAGGATCCAAAGCAGGCTCTGCACTGACAGCAGCAAGCCCAGTGTGGGGCTCAGACTCACAAACTGTGAGATCAGGACCTGAGCTGAAGTCAGATGCTCAACCAGATGAGCCGCCCAGGTCCCCCTACTATTTATTTTGAGAGAGAGAGAGAGAGAGAGAGCGAGCGCGCATGAGCATGCGTGCAGGGGAGGGGCAGAGAGAGGGAGAGAGAATCCCAAGCAGGCTTCACACTCCGCGTGGAACTGAAGAGAGGCTCAATCCCATGACTGTGAGACCGTGACCTGAGCTGAAATCAAGAGTTGGATGCCTGGCTGACTAAGCCACCCGGGCGCCCCTGTTACACATCTTTTGAGCGTGTGAGATGATGCTTTTCTCTTTTGTCCTGCATCCGCTGAGATAATCTTAGACCTTTACTCTGTGCCTTATTCACTTCTGGTCCTGTCTGTTCTGTGCTTTACCGCTCTGATTGGTTTATTAGCACCGTATGGGGTCATTGGGCTCTCAATCTGTTTCCATAGCTCTGCAATCTTTTTGCCTTATTTTGTTGATGTATTGTCTGGTCTTTGAGCTCTTGATTTATTGGAATCTTATTTCAGTTGAAGCATCTGTAGCTGAGACAGTTGCGGAGAAGCCCTTCTCGGACTATGTTTTCTCCTAGACTGGGTTTCTGAGGTGTTTTCTCTCTTAGGACCCTTCCTTTCTGTCTCTCCTTCCATTTGTTGTAATACATTTGCATAGTTTCTGCGACACTTTTCATCCCACCCGTGCTCAGCATATGTCGGCACTGATGCTCTTCGTACCTTTTCTTTGCTCAGATACAGTGTAAGTGGATTCTCTTTGTCGTTGTCGTCCCCTTTCCAGATGCTGGGTTGCTTTCTCTCCATTTTGTTCCGGCCTGATGAGGCAGAGAGCTAATGCTGAGTGAGCGCCTTCTGGGAGGGCCAGCCTCTGTTCGTTTCCCCAGCCTCTATTAAAGCCCTGTCCCTGGAGACCTGCCCCCCAACCCTGGGCTCCGTGTCGTCCCCTGACAGTGACTGTAGTGGAGGAGAAAGATCTTCCTACCCTTTTTCATTCATAGTTGGGTCTCTGTAACAAGAGAGATTAATGAGAGAAAAGCGTACAGATTTGTTTGCTCTAAGTTTTGAGGACACCGGAGCCTTGATAAAGAAAAGACCCATGGGCGCCTGGGTGGCTCAGTCAACTGAGCATCTGACTTGATTATTTCGGCCCAGGTCATGATCCCAGGGTCATGGGATTGAGCCCTGCGTTGGGTTTCGTGCTGAGCCTGGAGCCTGCTTAAGAT